TGCGCTAAACTAAAACACTTCTTCGTAGGGGGAGATGCCGGGTGACCTATATTTGTTTTTATTTTCCTTTGGGAGTCCGAGGCCTCTTGAGAAGGAAGGGCCCTCACTCAGGCCTTTACCCACCTGTTGTCTCGGCACTGAATGATGGCTTTCGGGGTGGGGGGGAACTCTGCGTAGTGGTCCGACCGCTCTCCCCCTCACCACCCGCGCGTCGCTTGAAGTTCTCCAATCCTCGACGCTTTAGCGAACCGAGTGCATCGGCTCCCTGCCCGCGGAGCGTGCCGCCAAAGCCGGCGGGAAGCGGGGAAATCCCGGCAGTGCTCTCGCTCACTGGTACGGTGACGCGGTTGGCCCGGCGGTGGCGCGTCCGCCGCTTTGTTTTGTGGAGGTTCGCTGTTCGACTACTGGAGGCCTCCCTTGTTATTACCGCCGGGGTTGTGTGTGTGTGTGTATAAAAACCGTAACAATACCGCACGGCGTCCGCTTCACGGTGGATGATGTTAAAGATCCCAAGACGTCATTCTAAATGAGCAGGCCCTGGCGTGATCCAAATTTGCCAAATTCGAAAAATTACACCGCAAATCGCTCAATTGGGATCTCGCACAACAGCGACATCGCCCCCCCCTCCCCCCCACTATGAAGTTACTGCAGAGCGTGTCTGTGAAACATGAGCAGCGGCTTCCTTCGTGACGATCGCCCTGCTCTGTAAGAATAGCACGAATAACAAACGTCTTCGGCTATTATTGTTGTCGATATAACGCTAAGCCAGCTCGTTATTTTTTAGCAATGCCATGGAAAAAAACATCCCCCTGCCGCGCCGGGAGATCTAATGGAGCAGGCGGCATGTGGCTCACGACTCCAGCACGTGCCGACTGTTAAACCACGGGGAGCTTCCCCCGAAACTTCCATGAATTTCAGTTGTGCCTCGTCTAGCTCTCGACTGGATATCGAAACCCACCCGTCGTTCCGCGACGTGTTGCCATTCTTCCGAAAGGTGAACGGGGTCAGGATCGATCTCCAGGGGTCGCTGGTTCGATCCTCGATCTCCCGGCGGCAGTTGCAGCAACGTCGCGAGGTTCTCAAGTCCATCCCCAGCCTCTCGGTTTCTCCCAGCGGTTTGTAAACGGGTGCATCGCAGTTTGGTTCCTACGTACGCTCGGGCAAGGGTGAATTGTTGTGGGTGGGTGGGGGTAGACTTCGACCCTCTTCAAGGATCTCGAGTCAGGGTGGAAGAGTAGGCCAAATACCACTTCAAGCGGCTGTCTGTAACTCCCTGTAGTGGGACGGGCCCTTCTGTGAGAAAGCGATCGCAGGGCTGCACCTTTGCCGCTGCCGCCGGCGGTCAGGATGAACGAGGCAGGAAATGAGGGAGACGGCACGGGGGGGGTGACCGGCTGAGCGTCAGGATTGGTTTCCCCAACTTTCCGGCCCTTACGGCCCAGGACCACCAGTGCTGACACCACAACAACAACCGCCATTCGCCACTAAGCGGCGGTGACGTCACCACGGCGCCTGTGCCAGGCGATATGCACTTTTAAGGCCACGTGAAGTGTCGCCACCAGCACCCGCAGGCCGCAACCAGCACTTGCCGGCACCAGCAGCACCACCACCACAACGTCGTGCTTCCCACGGTTCTTTATTGGGCGGCGAGGTGGCGTAGTGGAACCGCTTGTGCCTCACAGTGAGAAGTGCCTGGACGCGACTCTCAACTCGGGTGCCTTTCTGTGCAGAGTTTTGTCAAGGGGCATGAACTGGCATCATTGCGCGAACTCTCGGCCATCATCGCAGCAGCAGCAGAGGCGACGGCTTTTGGCTACCCACGCTTTCGGATGCGCTTCTGTGCCCGTCAGGAACGCTCTTCCTTCCGATATTAGGAAGCCACTGGAGCTGTGCACTTTTAAATCTAGGTTCCAAACTCATTTCTTTCGAGCTGCTTTTTGTGTTTGGTTTGTTGTCCTTCCCCCGCACCTCCGATTAGCACGGTTGGCTACGTACGGTGAGAAAGAAGTTCAACACACGTGTGTATGTTCTCCCCCTGGTCTACGTGTTTTTTCTCCCATAGCTATGAATAAAAATATCCCGTAAAATGCATTTGGTATTGGCCAAAAAAACGTTAAAATGCTGTACATTTACCTGCAAATGTTTCAATTTGGATCCCAAACAGCAGCAGCATCACCATCACCAACCACTGCTGCCAAAACAGCGCAGGACCCTCTTGACAAAAGTGTATCGAGACTCGAGCGAGGCTTTAATGGGTAAAGAAGCAGAATGGAAACAAAAATGAAAAATAAGTGCAGTCATCACACGCTTCATTAGCCCCACATGACTTGAGCGAGTGCTGATTCAATTTTAAGATACCGCACGCACGGTGGTATGCGCGCTCACACGCAGGCAAATCAACACTGGGGATCTCTGCGTTAATTTGCATTGGGATCAGTGCTCTGTATAATGCGGAGAGATGTGGGACAAAGACAAAAGGCCCCCCCCGTGGTGGCTGGCGTGGCACAAAGGGTGGTGGTGGGGGGTAGGCCAGCACTGCGCCCGGCCGCCTTTGTCTTCCTAGTGCTGTTGCTTACACAATGCACCGGGTGCTCATGATTTAAGGGAGGCCCGAAACCAGTTCGAATGTTAGTCACTGATATTGGTCGCAAGGTGGGGAATCGAACTCTCGTTGCCGACTTCGCAACGTAGGGCGACAACCACTACACTACCGCTCCCCACAACACACACAATCACTACGCTACCGCTCCCCACAACACGCACAACCGCTCCCTACAACACGCACAACCGCTCCCCACAACACACAACCGCTACACTACCGCTGCCCACAACACACAATCACTACACTACCGCTTCCCACAACACACACAATCACATTCATAATAAAGGTTTTTGGGTTAGATCGCGTTTATTTATAAATGTGTCATAACCCTCCACCACCCGACACGGCCAATCAGCAAAAAAGTGTCACGTTGACAAAAGACAAATAATTCACTACTTCAGCCCACCGGTGTGTTGAAGAGTTAATCCACATTTACAGTTTGAGTACGACGTTTCGCTGGTAAATACTTCCAGCATCATCGGGCACACAACCACTAAGCTACCGCTCCCCACAACACGCACAACTGCTCCCCACAACACACAACCACTACATTACCGCTCCCCACAACACACACAACCACTACGCTACTGCTCCCCACAACACACACGGCACAACTGCACACACTCGGAACACCTCTCGTCACGCGAAACGCGTTTGCCAATCATCAGACACGTGCAGGGTGTGAGGATGTTTGATTTGAAAGGAGAATGTGAATGTGAAAGGAGCCGCCGCTGGGCAGTAGTGGTTTGAACAGAGGGCGCTAGCTGGGGGGGTTGGGGGGGTGGGTGTTGGTGGGGCAGGGGGTGGTGGGTGTTGGTGGGGCAGGGGGAGAATGGTGGGCTCAGGGATGGGCTTTGGGTGACATTGCTTCGGTTGCGAGGAGGCTTTAGCATGGCCAGGGTAGACCGGCTTTGATGTGAAGTCCCAATGCTCCCTTCCCTTGGCCAGCCCCCCTCCCGTATCCCCTCCCAACCCAACCCCCACAACAGCACCCCACCCCCACACAGCTGTAGCTGTGGGGACAGCAGGAGAGAGGTGGTGGGGTGTTTGGGGGGGGGGTAATTAGTACAGCATGTTACACACAGCTGTCCCTCTCTGCCTTGTGTGGTGGCTCTGCTGGGGGTAGTGAGCGGTGCCGGAGGAAGAGGGGTGATTAGGGGGGGGTGGTGGAGGTTGGGAGGAGTGGACAAGAGAAGTTGGAGTTGACTGCCGGTTGTTCAATTCCACACAATAGCCTCTGTCCTTTAGTTATCCGGTCGAGAGGGAGAGTGCCGGGCCTGCTTTGGCGCGTTCAGTCGCGGCGTACGGGCACCACACCTCTCCTCGTCTCCCGGTCGGTCGATGGATCGATCGGACTGCGTTGTTTTGCTTACCTCTCGCCGAAATGAAACTTGTCTTCTACGCTTCAACGCGCACGGCCAGACTTGGCGCCGTCTTGGGACTGTGGATTATCTGTTTCCTTCCCTCCCGCGCTGGCGGAGATCCACAGCCGGGCTAAGACGCATCACGGCTAGAATCCGGATCCGTGGGCGATGGAACGGAACGCGTCCTGCGAGGGGAACGTCCACCTAGGTGTCGGAGCGAAGATGAGAGGGGGGGCGTCGAGGCGCCGAGATGTTAACTCCCTCTCCCAGTCTGCAGGAGGGTCGTGGGTTCAATCCCGACACCGATGCCTGCATATAATGTACGGAGTTTGCATGTTCTCCCAGTGAGCGGTGGATATTTCTCGGGGTACTTCGGGTTTTTCTCTCCACACTTAGAATCAACATCGCGCCTTTAGAGCGGCGGTTCTTAACCTTTATTGCAGCCTTGCACCCCTTTGGTTCTCAGGGCATCTCGCACCCCCATGGTGTGCATGCACCCCAGGTTAAGAACCACTGCTTTAGTGTATTTGGCTGCTACACATTTCCACGTGATAAGCTACTTCATCGAGCTATCGTTTGTGGCCAGGTCGCTTCTGAAAAAGAGCCACGTGGCTCAGTGGGGCTTTACCTGGTAATATACAAAATAGTTACGTTTTTAGTTTGCGTGCAGGATGATGGGCGGTTTGTTGCATCGCAGGATGGATAGAGGCCGGCGGTGGTTTGGGAGGCCTTCATGTAGCAGTGGATCAACCATGATTATGAATTTTAACTCTTTCGTGTTTGCCCATGCATGGGCACAGTCTTCGGAAGTGAAAAGCCTTCCGGAAACGTTTCATTATGATGACGATAACAATGATAACGAAGATGCCGACGATGGCGATAACAATGATTACAATTGGGACGATGATGATGACGACGATGATGATCACCGTCGTCGTCATGACGATGACGACGATGATGGTGCGACGACCATGACTCTAACGATAATGACGGTGTCTATATCTCATCTCCCCCCCCCGCCGCCCCCCACGCAGGGTGGTGAAAGAGGAGATATCTGACGACGCGGCGCGACTGCCCTGCTTCAACGGGCGCGTGGTCTCCTGGGTGAGTGGCCTGTCTTCGTCACGTCGCCCTGCGGTCTCCCAAGAGTCGAGGGTCACGCAGATAAACAGCTCCTATTGTTGTGCCATTGTTGTTGTGTCGCATTCACCCAACCTGCACAGACCGTCGCGGCGAAGTATGGTACAATAGACCCCGCGACCAGCAGTGGCCCTCATCCAGCAGTGGATTGACAACGGAGGCTGTGGATGCACTTGAGGCTCGGTGAGCCCGCACTGCGGCACTTAGGATTTCAAAGGGTCGGTGTTAAACCCCCTGAGGCTCGTAGAGAGACCTGTCAAAGCAACTGCCATTCACTCCCAGAGAGATGTTGCCCCAAGCAACCTACGCTCACTTTGATAGGGGGACTGTCTGCCTGTTGAAGGCAACATCCATTCACTCGCACGGCGATGTGTGTTGACTTAAGTCTCCGTGACCTCCGTTACCACGGGGGGGAAAGTCTGCTCGAGGGCATCTCCACGACCGTTGAGATGCGGGCGTTAAAAGTTTCTGGTTTTGTTTTGTTCAACGAAGTTAGAGCTCAGGATAGGCTCGTTTTGTACGAGTCGACCTGGCGAGCGTAAGTCTGCTGTGCGTGCGCGTGTAATCCCGCTTGTGTAGTTTAGCGGTGTCATCTTCGAATTTGGCAAACGTGGACCGCGATTGCCGGTACGCAACGATGCGCGTGACACGTCACGGCGTCTCCGAAGTCCGCCGTGTGCGAAGCGGGCGGCGATCGAGGAGTGTAGTGTGTTTACGCCATTAGTGCCCGACCGTTGCGGCGGTGTTAACCGCGGGGGGGGGGGGTGGGGGCGGCCTGCCGGATTGGAACCGCGAACCCCAAGCAACAAGCGACTGAGCGCGCCACCGCTGGGGCCCAACGTCGCCTCTCCCCAATTCCGGCGCCGCTGTTCGCTCAAGCGGGAGACCCCTGTTCATTTCTCCACGGGTTGTTTGTGTCTTGACCACTTCTACCGTTCGCTCGCATTCACCACCGCCACCCATCGCAGCCCCCAGTAGGAACATCCATCAAACCAACGGAATGTTTTAAAAAAAAGTTAGATTTTTGGCTGTACAGGCAGTCCCCGGGTTACGGAAGGGTTAGGTTCCTGAGAACGATCTGTAACCCGAATTTTTTCCGTATGTCGGGAAACTGCACCATTTCCCCCCAATATCAACGATAAAACCCCAGAGCCGGAAATAGTTGTGCCTTCCCTGCCGTTTTCTCTCAGTACTGCATCTAATCGCTGTATATACGCTATGATTCTTTAATTTAATCGAATATGGACCCTAACGTGCTACCCTCAATTAAACTAATGGAGCATATACTGTATCCAATTGTTTATGAATACCAAAAACATTTTATTGTTAATTATTAACAGGAAGCAGGTACGTCCCAATGTTCGTTTACCGTGCATTAGGCTAGGCCTAGGCTTCTCCGTTCCCTGTCGGCTAAGACCATGAGCGATGGAAGTGTAATTGTGTTTGAATAAAGTACACACCGAAATAAATAATTTTAAACTACAGAAAACTAGCAATCGAAAAACAGGAGAAAAAAGAGAGTCCTAAGCATATAAAACAAACAAGTAATGCTACAAACGGAAAAGAATTACGTAACTCTACAAACAATTCACATTGACCTTAATCCTGGCGAGGCTCGGTGAAGGCGGCGTTTTGCCGGAGCGAGGTGCAAGGCGGGCGGGCGGGCGGCTGCCTTACACCTCGCTCCGCGGCATTCATCCGAAACCTCACCGCGCTGCACTACTTTGGCTCGCGTAACAAACGCAAACATTTCCGCGTGTTGGCTTAATTTTTTTCAACAACATTTATTCTGGGAGCATTTCCGTAAAGTCGGATTTCCGTAAGTCGGGTGTTCTCCAACCCGGGGACTTTCTGTACAGAGTAACAAAGGCCCGTAGCAGAACGTTGGGTCGCAGAAAATAACCGTACGCAAATACCTGCCCTGCCTCCACGTACCCTGCGTGTTGCGATTCGTGGTGGGGGGAACAGACTACCCGGGGAAGGGTGGGCTGGGAGAGAATCTACTTTCTCCTTTACATAGAAAACATCGTGGCGGTAGATCACTCGTTTTTCTTTTTACAATGTAGGGAGAAAGAAAATGGGGAGCGGGGATGTGTTTAATCTACGGGTGAGGAGGAGTCCACCGGTTTGCATGGTGGGGGATGTGAGGGGGGGGGGGAGAGGAGTGTGGAGGGTAAGCCGGGGGGGGTTACTCCCCCCCCCCCCCAAATCAACAAGACATGAGCAGCGCGGACGGCGCTCGCCGCACGATTTCCTCCCGCCGCGAGGCCGAGCATCACTCCCGTTGGGGCCCCGCGGGGGACTCATGTCAGGCCCTCCCAGCGGTCCCCATCTCCCCGGCCTTCTCATCTGGTTTGCTCATTTCAGGCATCGGGATGCTTTTTTGTTGTTGCTATTTTTCCCATCGGCGGTGGGCGGGCGGGCGGGCGGGCGGGGAGAAGGGGCCTGATGAGGCTGGTTGTTGTAATTGCCGGCGAAACGTCACGGTTGTCGAATTGTAAATGTCGTGGGTTAACGAATTGGCACGTTATGTTCACGTGACCAACCTTACTGGATTGGCTGTGTGCGGGGTGGGTGGCGAGTTTAACGGGTTTAACGAGACGACATTTAAATTTACGCGATCTAACCCAAACAAATAAAAAAACTATCACGGGTCATTTTCCCGTATGCGCAAATATCGGGGCGGGAGAAATCGAGGCGCAACGTGACTGATGTGGGTGAAAACCACGAACCGTCCCGAGGTGACGGCGTCGTTATGATAATTTAATAATAATCTAAAGTAGCAAAGCGCCCTTAAACATTCATTCTCGGGGGCCTGCTTATCGTCGTGACAGCCGGTGGTGGAGGTGGAAGTAGAGGGCGCTCGCTTTTGAAGGTCCTTTGGTGGTTACAAAGAGTTGCCGCTAGAAGGAGTTGGGTTCTCGAGATGCATTTTTAGAAAAATCATAATGATTGATCCACACCTTGGCGGAGGGCTAGCATAGCATGGGGCACGTTTACCCGAGAGAGCATCTCGGCTGAGTCCCAAGACGACGCGTCGTTCAAGAGGGTCCTGCCAAGTTTTTCACAGTCAGGGCCTGGGGTGGGTGGGGGGGGTGTTGCTTTCCACTTAATCCCACGTGAACACGCACACGCTCGCTCTGCAGAATATGGTTAATTACGTACAAACATAGACTCTCCACTCTCGCTCACTGTCGCTCACTCTCACTCAAGTTCATACTCTGCAGAACATGGTTAAGGGCGTACAAACATATAGACTCTCCACTCTCACTCACCGTCACTCACTCTCGCTCACGTTCATACTCTGCAGAACATGGTTAAGGGCGTACAAACATATAGACTCTCCACTCTCACTCACCGTCACTCACTCTCGCTCACGTTCATACTCTGCAGAACATGGTTAAGGGCGTACAAACATATAGACTCTCCACTCTCGCTCACTTTCGCTCACTCTCGCTCACGTTCATACTCTGCAGAACATGGCTAAGGGCGTACAAACTCTGCGGCGTAATTTTATTAACTTTGGGAATGTTCAGCCAATACGAGTGACATTGCTAGGTGTTTTCGTTTCCGCTGGTTCTCTACGGAGCTAGGGCCGGAGGAGGAGGCGGTAGAAGCTGAGAGCGCGTGGGGGCGCTACGTTTGTCGCCCTCTCACGATGGCAACGCCTCGCACAGAAAGAGCGCCCCTGCATAGAACTGGGACGGATCCCGCCGGCGCCAGCGCCCCGGCAATTAAAACGCTCTTTTGACGAACGCGTTTCGTGTTGTGCGCACGCTCGGCGCGTAACTTCGCATCGCGTGCGAAGCGAAGCTTGGCGCGCGTCGAGACCGCGCACGTGTCGGGGTGTGGGCGGCCCGTCCGTCGCGTGTTTCTGCGCGCGCGTCTGTGCGGGCATCGGCGCGTTTCCATGCGCACGCTCCCTTGCGTGCGTTATAATCCCCAACGAGGGCCCAAAGAGAACTATCAAACACCCTTGGTGTGCCGCTCGCGTGCTCACGTGAGCACGCACGCGGCACACACGCTAGTCAATATTGAACTTCGATCGCGCTCGGACCGTGTCCATCAGTTGCAGGACAGCAGGGTGGCTGAGCGACCGTTCGAAAATAGTCCCCCCCCCATAACCACCCCGCCCCACCAGCTCGTCCGCCTGAGCCCTTCTAGTTCCCAATTAGTGAGGCCGAGATGCTCGTCGCGGCGACGGCTAGGTGACGTTTATGCGGTGGCCCGTCTGGAAGCGGTGGGTGCCTGGCGAATGTTTAATATGAAATTGCGATTGCTGGGCACGGGATCCGCAGAAGCCAAGCGTGCTCGCAACGGACGGCCGCTGTCGCAGCTGTAACGGACGAGGAGCGTGCTTACGCGGTTCTCAAAATTGAGCGAGGTTATTGTTTAAGAGCCTGGGGGGATTAAGGGAGGCAACGGGAGGGGGAGGAATTGCAAAGTGGAGCTAAAGGGAGAAGTGTTTGTGACCTGTGGTGAGTGGGCGAGCAAGTGGGCGGGTGTGTGGGTGAGTGAGTGGGTGAGTGGGTCCGTTGATGGGTAAGTTGGTTAGTTAATGGGTGAGTAGGTGAGCGGGTGAGTGTTTGGTTGAATTAGTGAGTGCGTGAGTGGGGTGGGTAGGAGAGTGTGTAGGTGAATTACTGAGTGTCTGGGTGAATTGATGAGTGTCTGAGTGAGTTGGTGAGTGAGTGCGTGGGTATGTGAATGAGTGAGTGAGTTTGTGGGTGGATTAGTGAGTGAGTGGTAGGGTAGGTGAGTAATTAGGTGAGTTTGGGTGAGTATGTGGGTGAGTGTGTGGGTGAATTAGTACACATGGCCTGGCACCGTGGTGACGTCACCGTCACTTCGTGGTGAATGGCGGGTATTGGTATTGGCTGAATTAGTGAGTGACTGGGGGAGTTGGTGAATACTTTAGTGAGTGGGTGGGTAGGGTGGGGAGCGGTAGTGTAGTGGTTAGCTCG